GAAGAAGAAGTAGAACTCTGGATGCCTTTCCCTGAATATGCGCCTGATTTACTTTGAAATCATCTTGGCAAGAACCTCTAACTGAAGTTCAAACCTAAGCCACACTGGGTAACCTCTGCAGAGCTCCCTCAGCTTTATCAGCACAGCTTTTCATACCTCATTGGCTTTTGCTAGTAATGTTGCCTTTGCTGGCTGGGAATGAACCTGCAAGGGCCCTAATCTGTCTCATAAGGATCTTCTCTTAAGGATATCACTAACAGAGATAGGAGGATCAGGACAGGCAGTTGCCAAAAAAAGAAATGTAAAAAAGCCCAAAATAACCAAGTACATTTGCCCTAGGGGACTGGCAGGTACATGAAGCTCTAAAAGTTATAGATGCTTTTACTGGAATTGTATTTTGCATACAGATTCCTTTCCCCCAGGACTGGCATTTACTGAGATCCAAGTACTCTTTAAAAGGAATCTGGATGTAACAAATGACTGTTTCCTCCAGGGATTTAACTTCTCAAGTCCCCAGTCAAGCAGCAGGCAGATATTTTGCTTGAAGTTAAGAATAAGAATGAACCCAGTGGTCTCTGTGTTGAGAGCCCAGGATGTGAGCTCCTGTTAGGTGTTTGAAGAGATTCTAGTCAATCCAAACCTTCATTCTGTGGCTGTAGCCACATAAATACATCTTTATACCCACAGACAAGAGAGAGTTCAGCAGTACACCTTTGGATGGGGTCTTTCTCCACCTGGAGGAGGCTTGAAATTGAGATAAAAATACACAAAAAAAAGCTATGGACATGCTGACAATTGTGATGCCCACCCATCTCGATGATTATTCTCTCCTACAGCTATGGTACCAGTTCCTGCCAGGTCTCCATCATTTCTGCCTTCCTGCCTCATGGCTGGGCTGTGGAAGATTAAAATCCTTTTATTCTCTGTTACGGGCTGCCTTCTTTGCAGCAAGCATCCAGTTCAAACACTCTAAAAAATGAACCAAATAGATTTTAGAGCTGTTGATGTGAGATTCCTTTGCTGGCTGCTCTCAGGTCAGGCTGCCATGGCTGCTATTCACAGCTGTAGTAGGACACTGGAAAACCCCAATTCTGGGTGTGCTGTCAGAGCAGGACTCAGCCCAGCAGCTGGGCATTCTTCCTGCCTCCCCCTCTTTATCCCTTGTTCCCTGCCCAGCTCTGAGGCTGGTGTGAATCGAGACAGCTCAGCAGCTCAGCTGCTGCTGGTGAGTGCTACAGAGCAGTTTACAAGCCTCATGTCATAAGCCCTGTAAATGCCTAGTAAAACATGGAATTTAATGGAAGCATATCAGCTCATTTTAAAGCTCCTTCACCTGGTGCTGAGCTAACTGTTGTTGTGCTGCCTTTTTTAATCAGTTACCACCAAATGTGTGCATGTGTGAGAAGGGTTTTAAACGTTTCTCTGTCCACTTCCAGGAGAGTAACAGACAAGCCTACAATCCTCTTATTATGCCTTTGAAACAGAGTCCATTCACTGTTATCTGCAGCACGTGTTATCGTAGGGTTTCTGCAGAGCTTACAGAACATATCCCTAACGTTTCTCACACTCCAGGTATGTATCTGTTAGACACAGACCTGGCAGGCACACACACAGCTCTGCAGGAATGTCTAAGTGTTTTGTTTGCTGGGTGAAAATACAAGAGGAACTCCAGCAGTAGCCATTAGTGATACCATGCCAATCAAGGCCTGAGACATTGATGCAATCATGTTAATTCTCTGTGTTAGAAAAGGCCAGAAACTCAACACTCTGCATGATGTTATCCCACCATATATACCCTAAACATAAACACCCTGCACAGGCTGAAGGAAGACCCTTCCCTCCTGGATTTCATTTGAAAAGTGCAGCCTCAGTAGCCAGTTTGTTTTTAGAACATTCCAGGTGCCATCCTCTAAATTCTGAACCAATTTGTTTAGAACATTCAGTCATTCTAACTGGAGTAATTTGAAACCGATTTCCACTTCTAATGATACCTTCCCATTCTTTTTTTCTTACTTATCTTATTGAAAAAAGTTACTGTCCACACTAATGGTAAGAATTCAAACACTTAGATTGAAAATCTGTCTCCCATTTTCATGTATGTAAGGTATCCACTTATCTCAAAAATTACAAAGTATGTTCCAGTCAGTCTCACTAATCTGAAAAAAATGGATAATCCCACCCAATATTAAAATATATCTATTACTGTCATATGGAGGTTTGTATGGATCACAGAGTTAGCATGTAAAACCTGAAGAATGCAATGAGATAAAAAACCCACCAACAAACCTAATCCACTTATATAATGGCATAAAAGTGAATAGTACTGTGATCTTATTTGCCACAAATGCTGTAACGAAAAGAAGCTGACAGGTACCATTACTTGTCACCAGTGCAAACACAAGTCTGTTCTGAGTTTGTTCAGTTTTTCTACCTGTCAACAGGAACAACATTAGGCTAAATTAAAATTTTGCAGAATCTGGAGATCCTAATTGGTTTTGTTCTCTAAAAGGAGCCGGTATGGCTAGTTCTGGACGTGTAATCCACTTTGTAGTCTCTTTTCATGGTCATGGGCGACCTGAATTTGAGGCTGAATCTCTGTCCGCACTTCTTAATCCAACAGTAGAAGCTTTGAACAATCCTAGCCTCCCTGATCCTGTTTCCATTGAAAGGAAAGGGAAAAGGGAAAGGGAAAGGGGAAAAGGAAAAGGGAAAAAAGGGAAGGAAAAAATACTCACACAACTAAATAACATCACAGTGGGACGAACAAAGTTCTAAGAAATATATCTTTAAAGGCATATTTCCAGAATACTTGCACTATCAATTCAGTTCTTGGGCTCGCTGTATTTTCTTCCTTTATTTGCTTGAATTGCTGCCTGTGTGTAAGTAGATAGTTAATAGAAACAGCCCTGTCCTTGGAGGCCAATATGAACTGACTGCCTGTGTCTTTGGTTCAGGTCCATTAAAAAATCCGAGCATTAATTAATCACTGACTTGCAAATAGCCTGTTCCAGGCTAAATTGGAATGTTCTGCAATTGTTTTACTTTTGGTCATAGGCACTTCAGTGATGTGAAACTTCCTCCCCTGCCAGGACAGGATGTGCATAAATCCAGTGGCTACTCCGGTGTTGGAGCAGACCAGACTATTCCAAGCAGCTCCATTTCTTCCACTAACTAGAAACCTATGCACACATGAGGAAAACACCTCACAGGCAGTGCTCTGGATAGAATTCCTACACTGAAAAGGAAATAATAAAACCTTCCAGGGCAAAATGCCAGTGAAGCATACTCCACAGGCAAAGAGCCTCCCCCTACCTGCTGTCTGCCAGGCCATCCAAAACCTGCTTCTCCTCCTCTTCCACTCAGCTGGGTGAAATCCTCACTGCAGAAACCAAGCTGCTGCTTGAGCTTTCCCCAAGCCAGCTCCAAGAAGGTTCCCTGCTCTGGAGCCTGTTTTCTGTGCCCCAGCTGCTGATGGAATGGACAGAGAATGGAGCAACTCTGCCTGCAGCAGACAAGGCAAGCCAAGCAAATGGAGGTGTTGGACCCCACAGGTGAAACTTCTGCAATGTGTAGCACAGACCAGAAATCTTTACAGAAAAGGAAAGTAAGCCAGTCTGATCTACCAGTCATCAAGCAAACATATCCAAGGGAATCATGATCTCATGTGTACAGGGGCTCTTTCCATTCCTCACTGTAAAAACTGTTCTTGATAAATAAGAAAGAGAAATAAGCAATTTTCAGAACAATGAGCAGAAAGTGAGGAAGAAAATTAAAGGTAAAACTAAGGCACAGGTTCTTGAAACACCAAGATACCAACTTAAGAAAATAAATACCTAAACCTAACAGTAACAACTTTTTTTTTTTCCACAGTGGCAAGATATACTACATTTGTGCATGTTGCAAGGAGCTTTTCCTTCAGTTACCTTTACTGGGCAAAAAAGAGCTTCTATTCTAAATGCTCAAGCCTGGTAAATCACTTTAATATATTCATTTCCCTCCTTCCCCCAGATTTCACTTTCAGTGGAGAAGTCAAACCAGAAAAGCCCAAATGACAAACAATTCCTTTCCCTTTTCCCTGTTTCTTGCTATTATTCCCACACTGAGAGCTCATATACATGGATGGTGAAGAATTATATCTCATATAAAAATTTCTCCCTTGCTATCCCCAACTTCCAAAATGCAGCAGAGAGGTAAATAGGCAATCACAGCTAATCTCTCTCCCTCTGCAGTGTTTTTAAACCTGTGGAAATTTCAAAAGCTGCCATGATAGAATGACAAAATGAAATAACACACCCAGCGTTGAAGTATGGGCACTGGCTGTTTGATTGAGCATGGTGACAAAAAGAAAAAGAAAAACATAAAAGCAGATCATAAGACCAGTCAGAACAATTCTACAAATTGCTGATACATTGAGATAGCCAGATGGATATGTGTTTTTTGAGGAATGAGACACCACTTCTATTTGAGCACTCAAAAAGGCCAACAACTTTGATGGTTTTGTTTTCACAATTTGACTTCTATTTCTTTGTCAACTGGCATTGAAGATTTGTCCTCGAGGCAGCTGCAGAACCTAATGGATCCTTTTGGCTGCAGTTCAAAGGCAGAGAAGATATTTCACTCAGTACCAAAGATGCACTCTCAACTTGCTATTAAAACAATAACACAAACACAGGGCTAATGAGGGAATAAGGAGAGAAATGAAGAAAGAAATGGAGGACTGTGGAAGGGAATGGATCACAGACTCTCCAGGACTAGCTCCTATAACAAGTGTGTGAGACAATCTCTTACAAGAGGGAAATGGCTTATTTGATCTAATGTCTTTCTCTTCTTGAATTTCCACAGTATGGAGAATCAATATGAGGGAAATTAAAGCATCAGGAGCAGACTCACATTTCCACTTGTGTGTGTTTCTATCTCAGCAAACTCTTAAGGAGACAGAAGTATTTACCTTAAGTGCCTGGTTCACGTGTGCTGCAAGAGGATGGATTTCAAAAGGATACAGGCTTCCTCGGTGTAGGGCACAGCAGGAGCAGTTCCACCCAGAATGTAGCTGTAGAAGGAGACCTCCAGAGTGTAGCAGTAGGATGTGTCGTTTAAGAGCCCGCCAAGGAAGCGCCGGCCTGTCCCAGCTTTCACAGCATCCCTGTTGAACGACGTGCTGGACTGCAGGAGCAAGAACACAGGGACACGGGGAGAGCTCAGGAGTGCAGCATGGGAAGGAGTCTCTGAGAATGGAGAGCAGCTCCACTCACATTGCCAGACCTCATTTACACTGTATAGACTGCTCTGGTTTTTGATCATGGCCTGCAGGAGAAGCACAATTCTGGCACACAGGCTGTAAATGATGCCTCACAGAATTTCACAAAATTCATCTGGGTTTATCATTAACATCAGCTTTTCCTCTTCCCTCTCAGATAACACAAAGCAAGGCTGTCATATGCAGGAGCTGAAAGTGAGCCTTCCAGATCAGAGGAGTTAAGCTGTGCCATTACCTGGATATTGGATTCCTTTGTCTCCACTGCATTCCCCTGTATCATCACCATTCCCCCAGCCCTTCACCTGGACTCTTAATCAAAGCAGAAATACAGTGGCATTTATGTTTTGGTGAAACTTTCTCACCTAAGACATTTGACTGGTTCTTAAATTAGGTCACAGAAATTTCCACTTCACTAACTTAAATGTTAAGGGGGTGTTGCTCTCTGGGTGGAAAAATCTACCTCACTATTCTACAGCACTAGCAGCCAGTATAAAAGGCAGTATTTTGTGCTATTACTGAAGATCTGGCTTTAAGAATCCTACAGCTTTATGACTATTCATTTGAGGGGTGGAGGGGAGGACTCCAAGCATTTCCATAAATGAGTTTTAGCTATCCTTTGAAGGCATGACATCTGGAGACTAAAGGGCAGCTCATCTTCAGGTTGATTGAAGTCTCAGAGCTTGTTCCTACCAACTAGACAGAAAAATGGATTCTGATTTCATTTTGATTTTCAGACTCTATTCAGAAACCTCATAACCATTAGACTGAGCCAATCTGGGCTCAGCACAAGCTAGTGACAACCACAAAAAAAAAAACGATCCAACTTGGATCTGTTGTATAAAAGGTCATTATATCTCCTGCTGTAAGAATTTTATGTTGCCAGTGAGACACAAAGGACCCTTAACACAGCTCATTGTTCAGTCATTGTGCCCATGGTGAATTCTTTGAGCTGTCCAGTGTCCTCCTATGGAGCCTTAGGGCAGCTACCTTTTCTAGCCAACACAATGTGAATATTTATAAAATCCATCTCTTACCAAAACGGGGGAAAATAAAATTTCCTTTGTATTTAAGAAATGAGATGCAATGGTTCAAAATACTGAACTCTAGACTGAGAAGATCAGGTTGATACTGAAATGAGTAACGATTCTTGATAACTACTGTATACCAGGAGATATAAAAAGTAGAAATTCCTGTGGGTTTATTAACATTCTGAATGTCTTGAAATCTCTCTCATTTTGTGAAAAGGAAGGTTTCCCAGCTTAATTAGAATAAAATGGAATTGGGTTTCTTGTTAGCATTATATATAGGTGTTTCCAAATGCAATCGGTTGTCTTTTTGGTAACATAATATTTAACTTTGTGGTAATTTGTACACAGGATGCATTCTCCTATGTAGATATCATATAATTTCTACCAAATTACATAGAAGAAGCTGCAGGATATTCTGAATACCTGTGGGAGAGGGAGTAAAACACTCCTAAGGAATGCTGGGAAAATTAACTGTTAATTTGATATATGGGATAAAATACTTAAAGAGGTCTACAAGAGGGAATGTTCTCTGACTCCCTGCAAAATAAACCTTCAAAAGGCTACTGAGATCCTGAAACAGAGGGGAGCTTAGGCCTCAGTTAAATTTCAGAAACAGAGGAAGATAATCATGCTCAGGGGATTGCTTCCTGAGCCAAGTGAGCACCAACTTCAGTGCAAGGTGCTTCATGTTCAAACAAATACCTGCAGTGGAACTTAATGCATGAGAGCACCAACTGCTGATGGAAACAAAGGAACAGGACAACAAATGGCTCAGGACAGGATATTGGGCTTTGTGTGCAGAAGCATCACTCACAAAGGGACTAAGCTAATTCTGAGGCTGTATTTGGCACAGGAAAAACAAGGAATATGTGGGAGGAGGTGACTCAGGGAAGACATTAGGGATAGAAGTACTTCAGTGAGTAGGAGACTCAGTTACTGATATGGAACATTTGAGAAGATTATGGAATCTCATCAACTACGTTAAAAACAAATGGTACAAGTATCTGCTGAGTACAGTTTGTGGTTTTGGGATACAGTTTGCACATGAAATCCTTTTCCTATTTCCCATTATCTTAATCAGGCTAAAAGAAAGATATGAGTAGAATTCCTAATAGATAATTCTTGAGATAAATCTTACATAATATTTTCATCACAGTTCTTGGCACGGTAAAGGAGGAGGACCATGCCAACAAAATTTGCTGATGACACACTGTGGAATGAATCATCATTATGGAGGAGGTTCTGAATATCATACAAATAAAAAAGCAGTGGGATGACTTTGAGGGCCAGAGTGATTGTAGTCAGATGAAACTCAGACACAAGTTCCAGGTCATGCACTGAAGCATAATAAAAAAAAATAAAATTCTGCAATAGGCTAAAACCTTGTCAGCTGGAAATATATGAAGAGAGAGTCTGATGTGTTACTTCACTGAAGTGGTTTTTGCTTTCTAGCAGAAGTTGAATCTAGTTATTGGCAAAATGATATTTGTCATATTTCAAAAGTGAAGCATAAGTAGTGTAAATATTATCAAGACAGTTACATAAATGGTAAAAAAACCCAAACAAACAAAAAAACTCCATCAAAATTAAGAACTTTTCAGAGTTTGGATTTTTATAATGCTGTTTCAAGGGCCTTGGGGCTTTAGGTTTTGTTTTGGGGAGGTGGGGGGCTGTGTTCCTTTTTTTTGTTCTTTTGGTGTTTGTTTAATAGAAGAGCTTCAGTTTCAGCTGTACAAAATTATTTGAAATGGCAAAGGCTTTAATAAAATCCTCTGTTCATTTCTTTGCCAAGTGATACTGAATTCCAGGAATAAAAAGCTGACCCTTCATTTAGGTATGCAAATGTAGATTTTGAAGTTTATCATTGTCCTCATTTTGAAAAAAAAAATCTGATGGCATAGGCCAACTTGTGTCTTGGGTAAAAGATAAAATCTCTCATTTGACTCAAGAAGGTTGGGGTAGAACATGACAAATGCATGTTTTGAAACAGCAGTTTGGGCCTGGCTTAGAGCAAGTGTTGTAAACCAAAATATGATTTGATATTTCATAGGAGAAAAAGAAAACTACAGATAAAAGAAAATTTAGGTAATGACAAGAGAGTGCAGCAGGTATTTGCTGAGTCTGATCTTCTGCTCACTGTTTTAGGTCAAGATAAAGGGAGTGGGGAAAAAAAACCCAAACAACAACTGGCAAAACTTTGACTTCTCACCAAGCTGATCTTGGAAGTTTTGCCCATGCACATTTATTTAATCAAACCCTAATCTGGGGGGTGGCAAGGCAGGGAGGAGGAGAGCACAAGCACAGGGAAAGTTGTCTGCAAATGAGTCTCTGGCTTTTCTGGGAGTATCTATTTCCCTAAACCCCTTTGCAAAGCTAAACTTGAAGTCATCATTAGACAAATGCACTGAGCAGGCACAGCAGGAGAACAGCTAAACAAATATTTATTTCTCCAAGGCTGAAACGCATGGGAGTGTTAACAACAGCAGCAGAGAGAAGCACAGTCTGGAGGGTGGGGGGAACACCAAAGACTTTGAAGTTCTTAAATAGTGATATTTGTATAAAATCAACAGTAATGCATTATTAAAACACACAGATACATTAAAGCTCACAGAAGGACTTTGCTTCCCAGCTGGTGTGAGGAAATTCCGTGAACAAATAGCTATCCACAGAACTAGAAGCTGCCAAGAAATCCAGTGCTAAAAGAGCAGAGAAGGAAGGGCGAAGGATTCCCTTACTTTCTGGTGGGAAGAAACTCACCAGAAAAAAACAGATTTCAAACACATTTGGGGGCCTCAAGGTGTGCTGACTCCCTCTCTACACATCAGGCATTAGTGGCAGCTTCCCCAGGCCTCCCTACCAGACTTCATTCCTCCTCCCCATGCTGTGCTGAGTGTCAAACTGTGTGACCAGTTTCCCTACTGGGAATGGCAGTGAACAGCCAGGCAGTACAGAGACATTTGTGAACCAACTGGACCTTACTCAGGCATTGCAGTAGACAAAGATGTGGGGAAGGAAATAAAAAAGAAAAAAAAATGCATGTAAATTGTTTTTGGAGTGATTTCAAAGCAGAAAAGAATCTTGGCCCTTGGTCAGATCTGTTGAAGTGCCAGAATCCCTGTCCCCTGGCTGGTAAGGACACCCAGTGGTCCAGCAAGGCTGGTGCCCCACAGTGTGACACCTCAGTGAATTCAGCCTCCTGGCAGGCAGTTTGTGAGCTGCACAGCCTGGGCAGCTCCCCCAGGGCTGAGGGACACTCTGGGCTCCTCAGCATCTCTCCTCCTTCCCGCTAACAGTGACCAGAACGAACGCACTGGGCAGAAAATGGTTACAAGTGTGCTGATTGCCTCTGCGTGCCTCTGGCAGTCACAAGAGGGGCTCCAAAAGGCAAAGAGGGACATTTCTCACATATCTGAGACTGAATTTGCCCTGTTTACCCTTCGCAGCCCTGATGGGCTTGGATTCTGAGGGGCCCTGCATGGTGGGAGCGTTGGCTGGCAAGGCCTCAGAGTGACCTCAGAGGGGACTGGGCTTGCTTCCGCACCTGAGAACCTCAGGCTGCACAAAAGGAGAAACTGGAGGCAAACACCAGTAAAACTCGATCCCATCTTGAGTGGAAGAAGGGATAACAAAAAGGGATGGAATGTCAAGCAGGCTGTGTCCAGCCAGTGATGGATGGAAGCTTAATTCTACCTTTCACTGATGGCAGGACAAAGGGACCTTCTCATCCAGAACTTTTTTTGGGAATGAATCTTTGTCATCTTCTGAAATTGTTCAACGCATTAAGAAGAAAGGAGCAAGGTGTGACCACAGTGTAAGTCAGACCTTGCCAGGCTCCTAACATGGGATCCAGGGTATGGATTGCACATCATTTCTGACCA